ATTTAATCCGTGAATATGATAGAATAGGTCTTTTCTGAGCATATTCACGGATTAAATTTTGTATTTACTTCTTAGTAGAGAAGTTTATCCATTTTATAAAATACGTTTGATGACTAGATTTTCACCATACGAATTATAACTAAGTATCTTGGACCGACCGCCATCTAAGATACGTAGACCTAATTTTCTGAAAACACAAGAATATCCAAATGGACTGGAACTCGATATATTTTATCCACAATATGGCTTTGCAATTGAAGTACAAGGCGTGCAACACGAAAAATATGTTGAATTTTTTCATAGAGATCCCAGTAATTTTACATTGAGATACATGTATATAAGAATATCACGTGCATTTTTACATAATTATTATTTTCTTAAACTTCAAATGCACTAAGAATTTCATCTCAGACAAAGAGGAAATCCAGAACAATGGGATCGGGAAGAATGGTTCGTGGAAGTTGAATATAAGAATGTGCTTGATATTAGAGACAATCCAAATTAATTTTGATGAGGCATGTGCCCTGCAAAATATTCAACGAATTCCCGGAGCCATCATGAGTGCCAAACTCAAACTAATAATAAAAATAAAAAACATCTATTTTAAAAATTTTGAAAATTGGTAGAAAAGATAATATTCAACATTACGTGAGTTCGATGTTGAATTTCGCCTCTACGTGTTCTTTCTGTCTGGAGCAAAAGTGCCACGCCTACATGACTTTATTCTTTAGAATGATACACAAAGCAATAAAACATCACTTACACTTTAATAAAAAGTATAACTTATCGTATTTTTTGGCAATTAGTATCCTGGGTCTCGGGGCTCAAAAATCGATTAGTACCCACCGGGTACTTTGTGAAGAGGAGGGTATATTATACGGGGGATACTTAACATGGAAGTCGTAATTTTGGCCCGGATTACACTAGTTTTGGCCTGGATAATGCTAATTTCAGGAATTATGAAGGGGGGTACTTTACATTCTACTCAACTTGTAACCGAGATTAGTACCAGGGTACTTTATCAAGGGGATATTTTATCAAGGGGGTACTAATTGCAGAAAAATACAGTACTTGCATGCGTGAAGGCAGTGTTGTCACTTGGACGTGAATCCAGCAATTTGATTGGTCGGGACGCTTGTCCCAACCAATCAAACTGCTGGATTCACGTCCAAGTGACAACACTGCGTGAAGGTGTTTCGCCCGCAGAAACTCAATCAATTTTAACAATTATTGCGTCATATGTGCGACTAAGATCCTTTAACCAGTAATTTTTAACCTTATCGAATACTTTCAGGATATGCGACTTCTACAATAATATTTGACCAGTTTCCTCTAAAATCATGAAAATGTAAAACTTCAATGTTAAAGGGCTCAAAGCCAATATAAAAAACAAAAGGTACCTCTCCATCACTTCCGGTTGGTGCAGGCACTCCTGATTTCTTTGGACGAAATGATGCATCAATCTCTTTTTCAGAACTATCAGCACGAGTTCCTTTAAAGAAAGAAAATTAATTTGATACCATGAATAGGACTGAGATAGTTAATTAACTGATGCTTACGAGTTGCTCCTAGGTCTATGATTTTGGCATCTGTTTTTCTAACAAAATTGCATTTCTCATTTATTTCTGCAATAATTACACTAATGCAAGTTTAATGTGGCTCTAATAGTAGTTCATAAACTGAGACTTTATAATTTGTCTATTCCCATAAACCATGAACGTTAAACTTATTGATGCAATGTTCATACTCGTTCAAAGTCACACCCTTAGCAAGCACGTATGGAAACCTTGTTGTAATCAGTCAATATTAGTCTTTCTCATATATAACCAGCCCATCATAAAAAAACTTATGTAGCTTCTTCTCACTTTGCTTCTGGATAAATATTTCCTTCTTTCCACTATAGGCTTCGAAACTAGGTATAATCTGGCATTTTTTGTTTTGAAACAGGGTCATAAGTTCTGACATTAATAACTGGAAGATTAGCAAAAAGCAAAAGTACCAGTTGAACATAATTATCAATACTATAATATTCAAAATTTGAATAGTTTTAACAATGCAAAAAAGTTGTGTAAAGTTTCATAATATCATGTGATATTTAGTGATTTAATGAATTGTTTTATGTTTACAGTCAAATCTCTCTATAATCACACTCATTTATAATCATATCTCTCTATAGTCATCTTATTTTACTTTTCTATTTACATATAAATATAATAAAAAAAATCTCTTTATAATTACATTTTCTCTATAGTCACCAAATTTTGCTTTTTTGAAAATGGTGATTATAGAAGAGTTTGATTATATTTTATATAATATGACTAAATTATTAATATTTAATTAATTATTAACAAAAAATAATTATTAATTCTCAAGAAATATTAATAAATAAAAGTCTAAAGTATTAGCCCTCAAGAGATAATTTTTATTTCAAATAAATAGATATATATTATATATTATTAGAATTATAATAATTTATACATGATTAACTTGATATATTTCTTTTTTAACAACTCATAAAAGCTTGTAATACTTAACTAACTGTATAATACAAAATTCAAATATATAATAATAATATTCAATAAATTTTTTCTATATAATAATACATGCTTGAATCTTTTTTGCAATCTCTCTTATATGTATTATTCTAATTCTTTTAACAGTATTTGTATAATGAAAGATTTTTATATAAATTTCTTTTTATAGTTATAAGAAGAATTATAGATTAAGTTAAGTTTATAATTAAGAAATATGCATGATAAAAATTATAGATTTAAAATAATTTTTATTAATAAGCTTTCTTTATTACTATACTTTTTACTATTATTATCTCAGTTAGCACTCTGTATATAGTGCTACAGTTACTTTAAATGAAGGATTTCTTCACTATTAGTAAAAGAGTCATATGAGTTGGGAGAGAGAAATAGACTAATAAAATTGATCAGTGCAAAAATA